GGGGAACACATATCACTAGGGATATGTGTTTCCCAGGTAGGGGAACACATATCACTAGGGATACGTGTTACTCACTTGGGGGAACACATATCACTAGGGATATGTGTTTCCCAGGTGGGGGAACACATATCACTAGGGATACGTGTTTCCCAGGTAGGGGAACACATATCACTAGGGATATGTGTTTCCCAGGTGGGGGAACACATATCACTAGGGATACGTGTTTCCCAGGTAGGGGAACATATATCACTAGGGATACGTGTTTCCCAGGCGGGGCAACACATATCACTAGGGATACGTGTTTCCCAGGTTAGGGAACACATATCACTAGGGATATGTGTTTCCCAGGTAGGGGAACACATATCACTAGGGATACGTGTTTCCCAGGTAGGGGAACACGTATCACAAGGGATACGTGTTTTCCAGGTTGGCGAACAGATATCACTAGGGATACGTGTTTCCCAGGTAGGGGAACACATATCACTAGGGATATGTGTTTCCCCAGGTGGGGGAACACATATCGCTAGGGATACGTGTTTTCCAGGTAGGGGAACACATATCACTAGGGATATGTGTTTTTCCAGGTGGGGGAACACATATCACTAGGGATACGTGTTTCCCAGGAAGGGGAACACATATCACTAGGGATATGTGTTTCCCCAGGTGGGGGAACACATATTACTAGGGATACGTGTTTCCCAGGAAGGGGAACACATATCACTAGGGATATGTGTTTCCCCAGGTGGGGGAACACATATTACTAGGGATACTTGTTTCCCAGGTGGGGGAACACATATCACTAGGGGTATGTGTTTCCCAGATGTGGGAACACATATCGCTAGGGATATGTGTTTCCAAGGTAGGGGAACACATATCACTAACTAACCCGCCCCGACGACCCGACGGCAACGCCAACGAGAACGGCAAAAAAAGCAATAGTGCGTTTTTACATGTCGTTACGGCGGCCATGTTGGTGTCGCAGACCAACGCTGTGGGAGTTAAAGTCTTTTTTTATGGAAACGCTTTCTTTTGTTCCAATAAATTTGCATAGATGCTGGCCACGTGAGTGAAAACACTCCATATGTTTAGATTTGCAAAACAACAACTGTAGAGGTGCATTTCTTTCACGTCGTCGCACAACTGCGACGTGAAACTTGCTAATTTCACATTTTGTGGAGGACGTAAGCGCAAGAAAACGATTTTCTTTTTCTCATCTCTTTTTGTGAACTTAGATACAGTTCTTTTGAATTCAACCCTTGAAAAAGTCGCCAAAGTCTGACAAATGAAAAGAGTTGGAATTAAGAGCGAGGAAGTTTGAAGCAGCGCTAATTCACTTTTTGGGTGACGTTTAGGCTGCTGTTGCCGTCGTTATTGCTTCAGCTCCCTTATTCATTTTTTCAACGCTCTTGACATGGCGATTATCCGTTTAAGGGAATGACCAACATCAATTTCCTCGTAACATCATCACTGCATCAACAAGAGAGAAGAGGTTATGGGGTTTAATGAAGTGATCACCAAACAGAAAATACTTCGATCTTTGATCAAATTCTCTCAACTGATTCTTTAAGGAAATGTATGGAGATCTGTCTAGAGAATTTGTGTGTTGATATTAGGGCTGTTGGGGTATTACTTCTTTCTTGACAAAGGTTTCTTTTATGTTTAGTATGGTCAACACGCTGTCAGACTTCAGCTTGTAGCAGAAGACTATTGCTCATCCTTACTTGTCAAAAAATACTTTAAATACTGGCAAGATTATGTGACGGAACAACAGATCTTGTTATGGGACAAGGAGAGACAAGCAGAGGAACACAATGAATGGTAATGTAGCAACATGAAAATAGAGAAACCAGAAATTATAACGGAAGCATACTACATTGTTCGCGATCCCCTATTTGTCTGTGTGGCGGTCGATGTAGATCACTGCTTTCTTGATTTCGTATAAAAAAGAAACGAGTGCCATACCCTGTGGGGAAGGGGTCAGTCACCTCCATATCTGCATTCCCCCCCCCCCCCTCCCCACGAAAAAAAATTCAACTATTCTAAGGTTTTCGCTCACCATAAAAAAAAAGATGGCGACCTCTCGAACAACAACCGAAAAAAAGCATGTGAGGAAGACACGTTTCGCTTTTGTTGAGCAGTCCACCATATATCTTTGACCTCGAAGAGACATTTCAAATCAGAATCCAGCCATGAATGTTGGTGCAGCTATCACACGACGGCGCACGTTGTATCGTCCCATGGCCCCCTGCCCCCTCTGTTCGCGCGATAATGGCGCCTGGGAGCGAGAGAGCAGATATGATACTGAAAAAATTCTGGCTCCTAATGCATTTGTTTCGTTTGTTTGTTTTTGTTGTTGTTGTTGTTTTGTTTCGTTTTGTTCTCTCTTTCTCTCTTCTTTGAAATCACTTAACATCTGTACCTTAGTGTATGTTTACATGGAGGTGGGGTACCCCAGGTAGATGAGGTAACCCGCTTAGGTGGGGTAACCCACCGGTCCATACAATCTCTTAGTTTAATTTGATCACGTTTACATGATAGGTGGGGTGACCCGCCACATGTTACCTAACCTATCTGGGGTCCTCCACCTCCATGTAAACAGGCCCTTAAACGTAGACGTTGCCCGGTACCTTCTTGGTGCACTCTCTAATCTGTTTCGCTGTACTTCTAATTGTTAGTTATACTGTCTCTCTTTTTTGTAGGCGACTGAAGAAAAAGGCTTTGATATATTGGAAGAAATACATACCAATGAAAAGATTAGAAAAAGAAAGAGAAGTCAGAAGGACCGAGATGAGGAAAAGAGTCTCTTCGTGGCTTCCTGACTTTCAGAATCTTACTGAATCATCGCCTTGATCGTCGAAGCCCTCCGACACAAAATCGCAATGAAGCAAGGACATTATCACCAGGTTCTTTCACGAAAAAGATGACTCGATTTACTTGTAAAGGTTGTTTCCTTGCACATAATTTATTTATATCCCCGTCTGCTAAAAATAGTCTAAATAATAGAATCCTTCGTTTTACACAATTAAATTAACAGAATCGCTGTCTAAAATAAAACATTTTAAAGGTATGTTCATGACTAACACAGCTTGCTATATTTATTGTGGTTTTGTTCCTTTCAACCTACTTTTGATCTTTTCTTTTATTCTCACTTATTTTTCCTGCTGCTGGTTTTTCTTTCGCTAAGCTTTCCTCCTTTCTCGGTGTAACATTCTTTATTTTGTCAAACTGTTCTTCTGTAAAAAGTCTTCTAGCGGGATTTGTCTTCTCAGCGCTGAGCGGTGACCTTATTTGTTGAAGCTTACTTAACTGAAGAGGCGAGTCTTGCTTCGGTGTTTTTGGTGAATTAACATTCTGCGTGTTTCTCTTTCGAGGAGTAAAGTTTGCTTTCCTCGGGGCCCTTTTCGTTGTTTTATTTCCCATATTATTGTTAGAGGTGTCCTTTACTTGATTTCTATTAAAACAACTCGCTAGGATAAATGGTGTAGGATTGCACTTGAACTCCTCGGTTTTCGAGAGCTCCTTGCACGGGAATTCGTCCACCAGAAGCTGGTCCACGTACAGATCGTTCAGATTTGGCAAGCTTGCTCCCTCGCATCCATTGTATGAGACGCTTTTAAGAAATACTTTGAGCTTTCTAAGGCGACGTTCATCTAAATTTGCAAAGAAGCGCTGGTTAAAGGTCAGCCTAATTAGTTAGATTAAACGGACATACCATAAAGAAGCTTCTATCGCCCCTTGTACCGAGTCACCCGTAAGATTTTTTGATATCCTGGAGTTCGCAATTGGACCGGGAATGGCCCCAATTTCGTGGTGTCCCTAAGACTAATACTGGTCTGCTCAAAAGCCTTCGGACCTCTCCTGGGGGGCTTCATAGTGGAGGGACCGGAATACTCCTCCGAAAATAAAAAACATGTACCAGAAAGCCGAGAAAAAATTCCGAGCTCCAGGTGAAAACCGAACTCAAGACCCTTAGTTCGGACGCTCTAACCAGTCAGTTCCTGTAGGCTCTTTAGCAAGCAGGATCGAAATTTAATTATAACTGCACCAGTCGTAGAGGACTTTACTAGTTGGATCGGGGACTTGCTCGAAACGCTGACAGAAGCCTGGGCGTGGCTCGGACTTTATTTGCCTCCTGAGGGAGACCATACGAGAATGTATGTTAACAGTCGAAATTCTAATAAGCGACCACACTCAGGAACTGAGGAAAACTTGCCGCTTAATGGGGTTAAATCAAAATCAAGTGCAGTGCAGTAAAATCATGCCATTGTTGTACTTAAAAACGCAATGAGAAAACCCACTGGAAATGGGGGAGCCTTACAACTCTAATTCCTAATATCTGTTGTTGTGCAGCACTTGAAAGTAGGAGTTGTATGTCAAGTGGCTTTCTGAGGCCCTTGAAAAACGTCTTTTCATACTCGTTATTGTAGTCGCAATAATATAACCACGCCTTCTTCCAAGAGGTTGTTTAGGTAATTTACAGAACTTGCACAGCCCACAGCACGGTTGGTAAATATACCATTCCATTCCATACCCAAACGGTATAAAGCATCTTTGATCGAGACAGTAAACAGATCTAAACACTTCAAGAATGATCCAAGTTTCCTACCTGCTGCAGTTTGCACTACGCTTGAAGGTCCTTGTCCTGAACCTTCGGCGCTGGCTTTTTTCGAGTTTGATTGCAGTGAAGATGATCTAGCTGAACTTTTGTTAGTTTCCTTTGTGTTATTTGCCTTTTTGCAGTTTTGAACGTGTCCCTTAGCTGAAAAAAAGAGAAGAAAACAGATTTTAGTGCAACCGGATATTCTTATGTCCCGTAAAAAAATTACGAAAGTCTCCTTTTTGAAGAAAAAAAATATATCTAGACGATTTTTTGAAAACCAACCTAACGAGATTTGCAGTCATTTGAGTAAAAAAGCTTCAAAAGGCATGTTTCTAGCCTGCGAACGGCAGACGTTTCTGCTCGCTCATCGACGACGTCCCTCAGCAGCGATGAGCGAGGAGAAACGTCTTCCTTTCGCAGGCTAGCATGTTTCCTCAGCCCGAGAAGCTCCAAAATCATAGTAACGAAGGAAAAGGAAAGGAGAAAAAGAAAGAGCGAGGAGAAGTGAAAGGAGGAGAAGAAAAAAAAGCAATGGTTGCACTCTTAGTTTTTATAATAGCTACTTTGGAGATAGTTTTTGGCCGAAAAAAACTGTTCGACGCAAAAGGTCAATTTGTCGATAACGTTATCAAAAATCCGGCTAGGTACAGGACCTCCTGCTAGATATATGTATGTACTTACTGGGAACTTTTTTCTTGGCAGCTTTCATCTCTGCCCTCGAAATGCAAGTTTGGAGATCAGTTCTTTTGTTTTGAACCGTTACAAGTGCTCGCGCGCGGCTTACGAGATTTCACGGGATTCGATTATATCATCGACGAAATCAACTTTCGATCGCAATTCCTGCGCGGGAATTTTTTTCTTCAGTTAATGCTTTTTATTTAGTTCAATTCTTGTTTCAACTTCTTGTTTGACATTTAGAATTTTAAGAAGTCTGCGTTTCATATTCTTTTGTTTCTCTATCCTGCGTAACAGGCGGTTTTTCTCGTGTGTTTTTTGTTTGTAGTTCGTATAAAAGCCAGAGACAAAGCCCGCGCGAGGCTAGATTAAGGCCAGGAAGAAAATGATAGGGGAAGGGCGAGAGGAAAAACGCAGAGAGAAACCTCTACTTTTTGAAATACGAACGAGGAACACACCAAGAAACCATTTGCTTCGCTGGCTAGTGTTTCTCTTAAACTACTGACTGCACAATTTTGAGCAAATCTCTTCCCCTTTCCCTTTTCACGATCGTTCCATTCCAATTTTACTTTATGGAAACGAGGTTGGAATCTACCAATCATAACACTGGGTTCGTTGGCGCGAAAATTCGCTTTGTTTTCGGTCT